GGCCAAATTTGGCCCGCGGGCCAGAGTTTGACACCTATGCTCTAGAGGTTTATCCAACAGGTGTTTATTAGTAGTGTGAACACAAGCTCAATATAAAAAAAATTTAATAAAAAAGGAATTGCTAAATATAATTGCCAAACATCATGTAACAAGTTTATTCTTGGTCTGTTTCGCCTGCTGAATTGCTCCAAGAATAAACTTGCTACATGATTTTACCCTAAACAGAGTGGCTCAGCAACCCCTCCTCCTCCCCTCCGCCTCCTCCTCCCCTTGTTGTTTTTTTAAAAAAAGTAGAGCTTTGGTAACACAGCATGGAGGTTCAAACGCTGCTAATTGAAAGAAACCCCCTAAAAATGGGTTCATAATGAATTTTATCCAGTCAGTACTGGATCCTGTAAAAAGAGAACTTCTTGCTTTGTAATCAGCACCATGCACAAAGCTGTGAACAACACTTTAACTCCCCACTGCAACATTAATGGTTCCTGAAGCTTTACTTTCATTTTCAAACAGGCTGTGCGCTCCCTAGGGGAGATCATTCAGTGTGCAGAGCCTAAGGGGGCAAAGAAGGAACCTCTTAATAGAGCTTATAATGTAATGGCAGTTTCCACAGTTACCGCCTTCAAAACAAAACCCCAGTTACCATCCCAACATCACCGGGCCTAAGAGCATGCAGCTCAGCTTATTCAGAGTCTGGTGACAGGTCCAATGAAAGCCTGCTGTGAAACAATGCCCGACTGACTGGAGCAAATCCAGTTATTTATTCTCCATCCCTCCCCCTAAAAACGCTGATGTCACCTTTCACTTTCCCTACCGACCTACAAGCCAGCTGACAGCGTCACTGACTTTCTCAACATGACCCCCTGCGTTGTGTTGGAAAAAGATGTAGGTGATAAACAACGCATCATTCATTTCTCACAGTCACAAGATGACACTGCACATTAATAAAGAATAGAGCCATTCATTCCAGCCACGTTATTTTTAGCTCTACCGTGTTTCCATAAATAGCACTTCTATTAGGATATGATAAAACGTTGTTCCTGAAATAGCAGATGAAAAAACAAGTTTTGAAAGTGGGGATGTACACAGCTGCACATTTGACATTTAGCTGCAATGCCGCCAAAAGTAAACAGGAAAGAAACACGTGTATGAGAGTCATCAATGTGACCAATAAACCTGTTAGAAGGTCA